CCCACCAATAAGTCCAAGTTCACCTAAGCTTGTTGACCCAAAAGCCAATGTGAGGGTCAGTATTGTGGTTAATGGGTGTTATTGTGGAATAACTGTCTGGTGAATTTGCACCATGTTACCTGAAGTAGCAGTTTACAGTCAAGTCACACAAGAGTCGTGTTGCCTGAGGGCATGTTGCCCAGAACCTGAGTCATGTGTAGTTATGTAGCCAGAAAAAAATGTCAAGTCGCTAGAAGAAACAAAATTAATACTTAAAAGATGAGTGGAAAATTTGGTTCCCTCCCAACCCACTGGTAGATTGGCATCCAGCTGTTTAGACACTCAGAGATGATCAAAACCCAGGTAAACAGCGATCAATTGTGGCATACAAGTTAGAGGCATTACTCAAAGATATGTCAATTCTGACCTTTTGATAAGTATAATCTTTGTGGTCATTCTTCATGGTGCTGTTAGAAACCAAGATTACCTTTCTCAAGCTTACAAAACGTCCACCTGAGTTTGCAAAGAGCGCACACCAAATGAAAAGCAATGCAGTTTGTTGTTATAGAAATATACAATGCTTCCCTTTTCCGTTAGAAAAGAAAAACACTTCTAGAGTTGTTACTCATACAAATTCTGACCATATGACAGGGCTCTTGCCAAGCTTTTCAGAGGAGGTTGAAATATGAGAAATAGCAATTAACTTTGTAACCTTCCCCCCATGCTGGATGTGCCGGCAGCATGGGCCTCCACTGGGGTCTGGGGGCAATTTTTCTATGCAAGGACACCATGTTGTCAATGGTGATGTTTCTCGATTAGTACTGGGCCTTTTCGTTGAGCTGCAAGAAGAATGGAAAGGAAACATGGCGGTTTTCATTTCACAAGGTGACTGAGAGGGATGAATTTGGTCAAAAAAGCAGGATTTCTTCAACATATGATAAATTTTCAAAGGCATAAAGTATGATAGATATCTTCACAATATTGCTTGGAAGGAGACAAGTAATATTAAGATTAAGTGTCTCAAGTTTAGGAAATGTCTGTGAGTATGAAACAAGTATACACTAAATGAAATACATCTTTTTGTTGTTAGAGACAAACAATGCTTTTAAAATCCTTGTGGTGATGTCAGAGATAAATTTAAAGAGTGCTTAAGTGATAAAGATTTCCCAATTTTATTGCCTATACAGTCTATAAGTCTGATCTTTTAAGTATTTGTTTTTTGGGGCGACTTGACTTATATTTTCGGG